GAGACCAGCAGTTGGCGTAATGGCTATGTCTCTGAACTCCCATGTAGCCGACCATGGTTCGAGTCCCAGACCTGGTGGCTTAAATTCACTCCGGGTGTGTGTGTGAGTGTGTATGCCCAAGATTCTGAGAGGAGAATGGAGGAGGAAGGGATTGTGACATGGCCATCCCCCCTGGGGGGTGATTTCTTGCTTTCTGTCTCTCTGTCTCTGTCTTTCTGGAGAGCGCACACGCCCTATAGCATAAACTTCTCCAAAAAGAAAGAATGGAAGAAAAAGAAAAGAAAAGAAAAAAATAATGATAAATAAAGGGCCAGGAGTTGATGTAGAGATTACATTGCAGGACTCCAACATGGCCAACTGTGGTTCGAGTCCTGGACCCGGTGGCTTGAAATTCACCCTGGGCATGTGTTCATGTGTGCCCAAGGTCCCAGGAGGAGAATGGAGAAGAATGGATTGGGGAGTGGCTATCACTCCTGTGAGGGTGATTTCTCACTTTTCCTCTCATTTTTTTCTGTCTCTCTCTCTCTTTCTGGTGAGTGCACACGTCCAAAGGCAAAAACCGCTAAAAAAAAAAAAGATAAATAAAACTAAATAATTCTTTTAAAAATAATTATTTTATTTAACTTTATTTATTTATTTATTATTTTTGACCAAAATGGGACAGCATGAGAGAGAGAAGGGGAAACTGAGAAAGCCAGCTGCCAGGTCTGGGACTCGAACCACGGTTGACCATGTGGGTGTCCAGTGTTCCCAACCACCATGCCACCTACTGGCCCAAATAAATAATTCTTTAAAAAGAAAAAGAGTAACAATAGAAGTCTTTGTGGAGTCAAGAGTCGTAGGAGTCTCTAGACTGACAGAGCAGGGATGGGGATGAGTGTCAGTGCTGTCACTAGTCTTGTTTAGGGAATAAAAGAGGCTTCTAACAACCCACTCAAAAGTGAGTTGTTAGAAGACCATATCTGGTTATCTATTTATGTGTTGTTCAATGATTAAAAAGTATTTTCACGCTTGCTGTCTCATTTTATTCTTGCAGCATTATGATATAAGGGAGGTATTATCCCATTTTACAGAAGAGGAAACAGGAGCTCTGTAGGTCCCCCTGTGTTAAGTCCTGAACTCTTTACAATGTGCTGTTCCGTTTCCGTAATCACGTGTGCAGAGGTGAGTAGTGGTGAGTGTGGGGAATGAAATGTAGTGATGGGTGGTTGGGGAATGAGGAAGAGGAAGACCATGAGCCATGAAAAGCACCTTCCTCTGCTCAGGGGAGCTGTAGCTGTGAGGAACTAGGAAAGAGTTGGCATAATCTGGGGTTGGGACCACAATGTGGTTAGCTTCCTGAGAGTAAAGACTTGAGTCAGCCAGGCTCAGACACCAGCCTACATGGACTCTCAGTGTTATCTTGTTGAGCAGCCTGAAGGATACAGATGAGCCACCTGTGTGGGCTTTATCCTCACTTTTTCTTCTTTTTTTAATATATTTTTAAAATTTACTTATTTGTTTATTTAAATTTGACTAGAATGAGAGAGAAAGAAAGAGAGAGTGAGAAAGCAAGACGCCAGGTCTGGGAATCGAACCGTGGTTGGCCATGTGGGAATCCAGTGCCCTTAACCACCATGCCACCTGCCAGCCCCTATCCTTACTTTTTCAACTGTGCACAATTCCCTGAGAAGTTCTTCTAAGGCAGGACCAGCAGTTAGCGTAATGGCTATGTCGTTGAACTCCCATGTAGTCTTTTTTTTTTTTAAAGAGATTTTTGCTGTAGGGCACATGTGCTCACCAGAGAGACACAGAGACAGAAAAGTAAAAAATCACCCCCCAAGGGGGATGGCCATACCACAATCCCTTCTCCTCCATTCTTCTTTCATGACTGTGAGTGCACACACACACGTGCCCAGCATGAGTTTTAAGCTGCCATGTATGGGATTCGAACCACAGTAGAACATGTGAGAGTCCAAGCAACACAGCCATTATGTGCCATATGCTGGTCCCCAAACAGAGCCACCTTCTTCTTCTTTTCTTCTTCTTTTTTTCAAGATTTATTTAATTTTATTTGTTATTGTTATTCTTTTTTTTTGGGGGGGGGGAGAGATTTTCACTATAGGGCGCGTGCGCTCGCCAGACAGACAGAGACATAGAGACAGAAAGCGAGAAATACCCCCCAGGGGGGATGGTCACGCCGCAATCCCTTCTCCTCCATTCTCCTCTCGGGATCTTGGGCACGCACGCACACGCGCCCGGCGTGAGTTTTAAGCCACCGGGTCCGGGACGCGAACCACGGTCGACTATGTGGGAGTCCAGTGACATAGCCATTATGTTAACTGCTGGTTCCCGTTATTGTTATTCTTTAATTTGACTAGAGGGAGACAGAGAGAGAAAGAAGGCAAGCTGCCAGGTCCGAGACTTAAACCACGGTCAGCCATGGGAGTCTAGCACCTTACCCACCACACCACCTGCTGGCCCCAAGCAAAGCCTTCTTAAACAGGACCTTTGGGCTGAATCTTCCTATGAACTAGCTCCATGGAATTGATGGGAACTAGGGAGGAGAGGGCAGAGGAGCAGCATCTGGGTGGGGGAGACAGCGTGAGCGAGAGCCTGGAGGTGGGGGCGGGTCGAAGGGTGGGAAGTCAGCAGGGATGCAGACGCAGTTGCAGCCATGGACAGGAGCTAGATCAAGGGAGGTCTTAAGTCCTATGGATACAGCTTGGACCATATCCTCTGAGAAATAAGAAGCCGTTACAGAGATTTAGTCAGAAGAGGGGATTACATTTTGTCAACTGTAAGATATATTTGAGTTGAACTTTACTGGTGTTGGAGGGTGTGTGGCATCCAGGAGAGAGGAAAGCCTGAGCAGGGCAAGAAATAGGAACACAGAGGTTGTGTTCAGGACATGTGCCTGGTGCGGTTTTCAAGCCATTGGGTCTGGGACTCGAACTGCTCAGTTGGCCATGCAGGATACAGCTACCTTAACATGATAAGGCCACCGGCTGCCCAAGAACTCAAAGCTCTTAATGTACACCTTGGTGAATTCTAAGACTGGCACGAAGAATAAAATGCTACCTTCATGAATAGAAGAAATAGAAGCTTATAGTGGCTCAGTAAACTTACTGATGGTACACAGTGTGTAAGCTGCAGAGCCAGGATCCAATTCCTGGTCTGTTTTATCCAAAGGTCTTGACCTTAACCATCACGCAGTACTCCCTCTCAGTGGGGCTAGGGAGATGCAGGGATCTAGGATCACGCTCAGGTTTCTTGCATGGGTAGCTAAGAAACTGAGATAGCCAACACAACAGGAGAAGCAAGTGTGGGGAGGACGGATTTGGCTTTGGACTGTGGTTTGTGCTGTCAGAAAGGGCAAGTTTAGGGAGTCTGTGACTGGGGAACAGCACTGCATCTCTGTAGCCCACCCCTTGGAAAACTGAGGGTTCTGCATTCTGACTTTCCCTCTCCCACTCTCCAAGGTGAGGATGAAGATGGTCTCTTAGGAGGAAGCTCAAGATCTGGACCATACCCTGCTGGAAGACAAGGTCAAGGGTAGCCAGGCTCCAGGGAGCTCGTTCTTTAATTCAGATGAAGCGGTGGATATTGATGACAAAGAGTGTGAGGAGGCTGACCCTCTTCCTAGCATGACAAACTACCCACACACCAACCACAGCAAGAATCCCATCAGGCCAGGCTCAGGTAGCTGACATCCCCTCAAGGCCAGGTGATGTTGTTAAATCCAACCAGCCATGCTTGAGACTTCGGAGTCAGCATGCATCAATTTCCAGACGTGCTCTGACTCTGACAGAGCCCGAGGTCACAGGCGAGGGGTGTGATAAGAGTGCATCAGTGATGGAGGTCTTTTATTCTCTGCCTGGTAAGTTGGCGCATTGACGGGTGACCCCTGTATACATGGGCTACTGGGCTCCTGTGAGTGGGAGAGAGTAGTGATCCCTTTGTTCTCGGAGGGCCAGGAATAAAAAGCACTTTGTTCTTCGAAATGTGACAATGTCTTCCTTCTCACCTTGCTGCAGAAGCAGGGCCTGTGGGTCTGAGAAAACATCAAAGAAAACTTGGGAACTCAGGGACTTCTGGCAAGGAGGTTGGAACTAAGTGTTCTCTTCTAATGAGAGAACAGACAAGATAGCAATGACTTTCCTCCTACTCATCCAACCCCTTCAGCACAGGGGCTTCTCAGACTCAGGACACTCCCAGACTGGCCTCTACCTAGAAGCCTTTCTAGCCTCTTCTCACCTCTGATCTGTCCTTGGCCTCAAGCAAGAAGAATCCCCAACTCTACTTAGGTGTCTTCAGCTCCTGGCTTCCTCAGGAGCCTTCAGAGAACCATTGGCTCTGCCTGTTCCTCTGTCCCCTTTGCGTTTTTACCAGGGGTACCAGGGAGCCAGAGATAACTGTGAAGTCTCTCTCCCCCAAGGACCAGTTGGACTCCTTAATCTTGAAGTGTCGCAGCTCACGAACTGGGTAAGCTGAAACGCTGTGGAGGACTGAAGGAGTCAGGGAGGTGGCTGATCAGCTGGGCGGCCTTGGGCAAGTGTCTCTTCTCTTGGCTCATGAAGATCTGGGCTGGATGATTTCTGAAGTACCATTCAGCTATCAGAAGGTAAGGACTGTTGGGGAATTGTAGGAGGCTCTGGGATGGGGTAGCCGGCTATTTTAGCTCCCGACACCCCTCCCCACCCTGGCACCAACAATCCTAACTCTGCCAGCAGGAGGAATGGCACCAGCAATGGCCTGGCTTCTTTTCCTTCAGCTTGTTCTAGGGCCAACTGTGGTCATGGACAACAGGCTGCAGATGGCCATCAAGAACTTCCGCGACGTAAACATCGACTACCCCAAAGTCAATTACCCAAAAGGTTTCCAGGGTTACTGTAATGGTCTGATGGCCTACGTGCGAGGCAGAATGAAAATGTGGCAGTGCCCGAAGATCCATTACATGATTCACGCACCCTTGAAAACCGTTCAGAAGTTATGCAAATACAGTGAGAGCTTCTGTGAGAACTACAATAAATACTGCACCCTTACCCAGGACTCCTTCCCCATCACAGTCTGCTCCCTGGTCCTCACACAGCCACCCACCAGTTGCCGCTACAATAGCACTCTAGCCAACCAAAGGCTCTATCTGCTCTGCTCCGGTGAGCATGATGCTGAACCAGTAGATATCATCGGAGTCTACTAAGGAATTTGATTCTCCAGTCATTTACTACCTCTGCCACCACAGGCCAGCCTGTCCCAATTTCCAAAGCTCTAATTCCTTCCTGCAATGACTTCCCTGACTTCCAAGTTATGCAGGGTCCCCTTCTAAGAGGCCAGGTAGGAAAATGGCTAGGAGCTTTGATTACCATACAAAGTTGTACTGTCTTCTAGGTTCTTTCCAACTTGTTTACCACCTCCCCTCAGCTCCTCCACCATCCTCCCTCTCCCAGAGACAGTAAAACCCACCCAAGAAGCTGACTGTGTCCAGTTGGCAGTGACTGTCCATCCACTGGGCCAGATCCTGAATCCTGGAAGAAGGCCCAGGGCCTCAGCTCACACCACGGCAACAGGCACCCAGCCCCGTGTCTCCCCTCCCCGTCCCTCCAGCCTTCTCATCTCAGTCTTCTCCCTCTTCCTTAGAACTCCCCCCACTCCCCTACGCAGCAGGTCTCTCTACCTACAGAACCTCCCTGAGGCCCTCGGATTCAGTTTAGCCTCAGTTCAGTTGCCAAGCTGCTCCTCTCTGAAATCGCTCATTTTCTCTTCATGTAGCCCGCCATTTCCTCCTCTTCGGCTACCATGGAGCGTTCAGTTCAGTTGCCGAGCTGCTCCTCTCTGTGAAATCGCTCATTTTCTCTTCATGTAGCCTGCCATTTCCTCCTCTTCGGCTACCATGGAGCGCAGCGTTCTCTCTCCCCACACTCCCAGTGACCTCAGTCATCCTGCCTTCCTTTACCCAACTCCTTTTTCTTCCCTCCTTCCCACCTTCACTCATTAGGATTTCACCCATCCTCTCCAAGCGTCCTGCTTCCTTTCCTTTCCAGCAGTTCCTCCCAAACTGTCCAAACTCTATGGTCTGCTACTGATAGCAGGGCCTGAGAAAGGCCTACCTCTTGTCTTGTAAAAAATTAAAACCACATCTGAGTTATGTAAGGGATAACTATTGGGGCAAACTGGGTGAAGGGAACATGAGATTTCTTTCTTTCTTTTTTTTTTTTTGGAGAGGTTTTCACTATAGGGCGCGTGTGCTCGCCAGACAGACAGAGAGAGAAAGAGAGACAGAAAGCAAGAAATCACCCCCCAGGGGGAATGGTCATGCAGCAATCCCTTCTCTTCCATTCTCCTCTCGGGATCTTGGGCACGCACGTACACGCGCCTGGTGTGAGTTTTAAGCCACCGGGTCCGGGACGTGAACCGTGGTCAACTACATGGGGGTCCAGCGACATAGCCATTATGCTAACTGCTGGTTCCCAACATGAGATTTCTTTGTACATTTTTGGGGGAGGGGGAAAATTCTCATGATTCTACACTCATTTCAGAATAAAAAATTAAAAAACAATCTGACTCAGTTCTGATTTTTTTTTTCCCATGGTGCACTAGAATACCTATTTTCAGAGTCCTATTGGTCATTTACCTCTGGCCATCTTCCTGGGCTATCCTTAACAGTCAGTAAGATCTTATGTTCCATGTGTACCATGATGGAGGTGGGATATGTAAAACTCAATTCTGGGTTGGTGTTGAAGATAGATTCTCCCGGGTGTGTGTAGAGGTTGCTCTGTAGCCTAATGATTAAGGAGTCAGATCTTGCATGACCCACTGCTGTTCGAATCCCAGCCCTGACAACCTGAAAAACATGCCCGACATGTATACATGGGTGCCCTATATCCTGGAGAAATGGAGGGCAATGGGTCAGCAGCATGTGACCATGCCCCATTGGTGCTTTCTTTCTGGCCAGCACAAGCTTCTGGTACGTATGTATGTAGTATGTATGTAGTATGTATGTATAAACAAACAAACAAACAAATAAACAAACCAGAAAGAAAAACAGAGAGAAAGAAAGAAAACAAAGAGAGAAAATGGGATCTTCATTTACCCCAGCTCTGTAACAAATTCATAACAGGAATTTGCCCTCGCTGTCTTCCTTTTCTCCCTTAATAAAACTTGGATTGCTTCAGATGAAGGAGGTGGGAGGATAAGGGAGGGTCTAAGAGGTGGTGTCTGGGTCACAATATCAAGTAAGGAATTACTAGTCTCTTTTGGGAGGAAGTGGGGGGTGGATATCAGTAATGCGCAAACACAAGTTGCAAATAGTTTTGTCTCCACATCTGGTTATTCTCTTATCTCCAAATATATCCCTCAGCCCTGTTCTAGGATTTCGTAGTTGAAGGAAATGCTAACTTAGAGCCGGTAGACAGGCTAAGCAGGGTAAAGGGTATGTGGCCGAAAACCCTGATTCTTTGCGCTTTCCCCTCTCCCTCTCTCTACACCAATGGACCCATCTGTCCCTTCCCTTCATTGGACAGAACTCATGAGCTGTTGCACACACAGATGTTTATTGTCGTCCAAGCTCCCTGGTGTCAATGATGCAGGGTCAGGGGGCTAGCAGGCTAAAACGACGTTGCTCTCTACTTGTTCTTATCATAGGTGCCGGCGCCCTTGTAGCCACTCACATAGCCCGAGCTGTCAGTCACCTCTTCCCGTCCTGCGATGCCCTTGCCCTTGCCACTCTCATCAAAGCGCTCCTTGTGGGTGCCGGTGTACTTGCTGGTGTCTGTTAGACGGTCCACTGCACCCACTGTGGTTGCTTTCTGCAAGCCAGAGGGTGGGTTTGAGTCCTCTTTCTTTTTTGTCATCCCCCCCTCTCCCCAAAGATGGTCTTTGATACTTAGAATACTTAGAGCACCAACTGCCTCTGGCACGTGCTGCCTTCTCAGAGCTCAGATGTGGCTGTGGGCAGGAACTCTGACCAGGGCCACCCACCCATGAGGGAGGAGAATCTGTGCAGGAATGTGTGTGATGTGTGGTGTGTGGGGATGGAGGTGCACGAGCCTCTTCTGTTTCCAGAGGATTTGTTCTGATCAGGCTGCTGCCAGAGGACTTCAGCCCCAGACCCAATATGTAGAGTAGCAAGAGATTTTAGTACAGAGGGGATAATTAAGAAAGAGGGTAGGTGACAGGCAAAACGTATGAGATTAAACTTTAAATATGGAGGCATGGGGACTAGTTAACAAGTCCTCTATTCTCATGTATCCCAAAAAGTCACTAAGCTTCAGTAGCCTGTCTTAGATATCGAAGACTTGAGGATGAGTCTAAATTCTACTATTAAAATAGCAATGGACCTCGAGCAAGTTGCTTTCCCTCTTTGGGCCACAGTTTCTGCACTTCTGAAATGACTAGATATCTTGAAAGTCTGTTTCGTTGCCTATGGTGCATCCCAACCTTTCTGCTCTGGCTCCTAACAGCTACACTGCCAGGCAGGGTTAGGGGGACTGGCGAATTTAGGGACATAGGGTCAGGGGTTAGGGATGATGAATGTCACTCACAGTAACACCAGTGGTGGCTGGATCCTTGCCTTCCATGAGTTTATAAACATTCTCTAGGGCTTCATCTGCATTCTTGCCCTTGAACCTTTTCTGGCCTAGTTCTCTCATTGCCTCTTGAAACTGTAGAAACGTGATGGTTCGGGCATTCTTGGCCCTGGTCAGTGAGATAGAAACCCAGAACTTTAGAGCAGTTGGTCAACTTTAGAGTTGGTTACCTGCCAAGGTCCAACTCTGCCCTTACTCAGATTTGCCCATTTTGTCCTGTCATTGAGTGTCTGGAAGACGGAGGGCAACATAGTGGCAGGGATCCAGAAGTTGCTTCCTAGGTCCCCCACCAACGTGCCACCATCCAAGCTCTTCCACGGCAATGATCTTGTCCGTTCTGCTCACTCCCAGCCCCATCTCTGGCCACTTACTTGACTTTGCTGAACACAATGTCCACATCAGTGGAGGTGACTGCCTTGCCGTCCATGATGCCACAGTCTTTGCACAGCTTGGAGAAGTTCTTGTTGGTCATTTCATTGCCACTGCTTGATGATTCTCCGAAGACAGCAAACTGGTGGAACGTCTTCTCTGCTTCCGATGCCATGGTCAGCTGGAGGTGGGGCAGGGAAGTAGAGGGGGAGAGTTGGGGGTGAGGGAGGAGGGGAAGGGAGGACTGAGAAGTAAGGAGATGAAATCAGTCAGCACAAGGAGCAACTCCCCTCCACCCTGTTGCTTTTTCCCTCCCCCCCCCCACTCCCATCCCACCTAGCACAGTTCCAAGTATGTTCTCCTCCCAACAGCACTTGGAAGACCATTGTGGATCCTACATACTCAATAATCCTCCTTCCCCACCACTCGTACGTACCTAAGAGTGCCCAGATGGTGTCAGACCCGTCGTGTGTGTGTATGTGTGTGTGTGTGTGTGTGTGTGTATAGATATGTGGGAGCCAGCTGGCTGGGGAGACAGGAAGGGAAGCTTTTATGACCTCATTAGTGTTTCTGTGACATCATTCTAGCTCCAGCTACAGCCCATGTCTTCAGAGGAGGGGACAGGGTGTTTGGTCTCCTTACCTTGCATGCTGCATTGAGCAAGTTGCCAACCGCCTGACCACTTCAGATGATTGACCTTCCCTCATCATTTCAGATGAGTTGACCAATCCTCTGGTCCTAACTCCATTGTGTCTGCCCTATAGCAAAAGCTGAGGAGAGGGCAGGGTAAGTATCTTCGTCTGCTTAGGCTGCTACAATAAAATATCATAAACTAGATGGCTTATAAACAATAGACATTTATTTCTCATAGTTCGGAAAACTGGAAGTCTAACTTCGAGGCATGGATAGACTTGGTGTCTGACGAGGGCTGCTTTCTGGTTCATGGATGGTGCCTTCTCATTGTGTCCTCACGTGGTAGAAGGGAGAAGGAGTTCCCTTGGGCCTTTCTATAAGGACATTTATCCCACTCATGAGAATTTGGCCTTCATGAAACCTAATCACTTCCCCAAAGGCACCACCTCCTAATAACATCACCTTGAAGTTAGGGTTTTAGAACACAAATTCTGGAGAGAAACCATCATCCAGACCATAGCAAAAGGGGTTAATGAAAATAGGTTGGCATTGGGTCAACATTGCCCTCCTTTCTTTAGGCTCAGGTGTAAACAACATGGAGAGTCCCACTGGCTTTGGATTTTCCTATTTGTCCCTCAGAAGAAACTTTAAGGCCCAGCAGGTGACATGGTGGTTAAGGTACTGGACTCCCACACGGCCAACTGTGGTTCAAGTCCTGGACCTGGTGGATTGCTTTCTCACTTTCTCTCTCTCTTTCTTTGGTCAAACTAAACAATAATAATAATATATAAAATTAAATAATTTTTTTTTTTTTAAGAGAAACTTCAAATGGTTTCCAAAGGTAGGCCTAGTAGAAAAAGAGTACAGGCTTTGGAGTGTAACAGATCTGTCAATGGGTCATAGTGAGGGTGAGTCTTAGACTCTGAAAATCTCCCAGATAAGTTTCTGGGCAGGTCAAAGATGTTCCTCAGAGTTTACTCTCTTTGACCATTTTTCTGGCTAGAGCCCTATGGATAGGGCTCCTAAAACAGAGCAACTAGATCAGTTACTTTCTTCCCCTTTCCATCTAGTTAGTTACCAATTCCTATACATTTTCTTCTTACAGATCCATTCCTTTCTTCCCATTCCTAATATTTCTACCCTTACTCAAGTCCTTATCTCATATCTAGATGAGCACTCTGGATTCTCAATGACCTCTTACCTGAGGCGACAGCTCCACTCCCATCCACCCCATAATCCATCTCTGGTACCCCTCTCCATCAGATTAATTTTCACCAAACAGTATTTTTCTGTTCCCTACTCCTCAAAAATATTCTATGGCTCAAGAATATTTTTTGCCGTCATTGCCAAATCTTTCTGCCTAGCATTCAGGGACCTACACAACTACGACTCAATTTGCCTTACTAAATATTACCCACCTCTTATCAGCATTATTCTTTAGCTGCGACCATAACAGCTAAATTGTTACACACTTGAGAGGCTACCTGGCAAATGGAACAAGAATAGTCCCTGGAGAGGAATGGATCTGGATCCTAGATATTGTCATTTACTAGCTGGGTGGTCTTGGGCAAGTCACTAACATCTCTGAGCTATAGTTTTCCATCTATACAGAGAGGAGAATAATATCTTACAGTATTGGGGGTAATATACAGGAAATGCTTTGCTTGTGTAGTTCTGCCTCTAACCTTTCACTCATGCTTTCTCTGTCTGTATAGAAAGCTCCCTCCTCCTGCTCAAATATTCCACGGCTACACTTCCCATCTAGGTGGTTCACCCTAGGAACAAAGCCTTTTCCTGCTCCAAATTATAGTAAAATGGCTCCTAGCCTGAGAGCTGTAGCTTCCTGGGGCGTGGGTCCCTGCAATCTGCATGTACACAGAAGATTGTGTAAACTGAGTAAATACCATGCCCTGGATATAAGGTCTTACCACATACACAGATAGTGTGGTTAATATACAAAATTGAAAGTATTGCTGAATCCATAGTCTCTATTTTCTCCACCACAGAATAGTAAAAACATCATGTGAGGATAGGAATCTCTGAGCTCCCCCTTGAGAAGTCTGACAAATTATGGCTACAGGACTTAGTATCTAAACAATTGATCTTATATATACATATTTTTCCTTCACTTTTTATACTTTCTCTTGACCACTTGGTCATAAACTTCTGCAGTGGGTGTGACCAGACTTCACACTGCCTTGCATTCCACCTACACAGTGGCTTGCACAGAGCAAGTGCGTACAATTGTTGCTTAGGTGAAGGTATAGTTTGGAGCTGCTTCTGACCCAAGAAGAGGAATTGGAAAGATTGTTCTTGTGGACACTTAACACAGGTCCACCTGGGAGCTGCCCAGGCATGGAAGAACCCTGTCTTAGGGCAGAACCAGCCTCAATTCTGTCTGCAGGCTGGGTGGGACCCTTAGGCTAACTGCAAAGTAAATAGATCTCAGTGGAAATTTCCCACCTCCTGCTTGCCCCACACCCCTGCCGAGGCCCCTTATCAGGTTCCCCCTGAGTCATCCTGACCCAGAGACGAATTTAGATGCTGGAACCTCCAGGTCTTTCCCTCCCCCTTTCCATACTTGGAGACTACTTTAGAGACATCAAAAGAAGGTTGCAGGGAAAAGTTCTCACTTCTTGTCCCCTCCACCTCCAGTTCCACTAGTGCTGGTGAGAGCTCTCTCTCCCCTGCACGATGCGTCTTTAGCTATGATCGTAACCCTAGCAGGCATTTCCTTGTTTAGGAGAATGTAAACTATCATCCCGAGGGAAGAGGGGACTAGGCGAGGAGCCAGGGTGCCCAGTTCCTGTGCCAGTTTCTAGAGAAATACTGATGGAGAAGGGAAAAGAAGAAAACTGGGGTACTCCACATTGGGGAATTTACAGAAGTCCCTTAGATTTGGGGTTGTTGAAGGCTGGCTTGAGCGTGACAAGTTCTTCTACTCTGGGTTACCTCCGCCCTTTTGGACTCTCCTCTTTCCAATAGACCCTGCCAAGTGGGGATGAAAGGGGCATTGATGTTCCTTGGATGGGAGGGGGGTTGGGTGGTGAGGGTGGTGGTGGTGGGAGGGTGGTTCCCAGGCAGGAGGGAGGAGGGCAATTTGGGGGTCTTGGGGGGGCAGTCTGTGCTGGTGTCGCAGTTGGCAGCTAGAGTTCCATTGGTCATTGTTCCTAACTGGCCTGGTGCCCAGCCCCCGAAATGGCAACTCAGGAACTAGGCTGAAGGGGGATGGGGTGGGGATGATCTTTCCAGGGGGGAAGCCAAAGGGGGGGCAGGTGGGAAGAAATTCAATCTAATTTCCTTTTGTCTGCGACAACTTCGAATTCCCTTAGCCACATCAGCCATCTCATTCCAGGGGCCTTCCTCTGAGGGGTGCAGCGTGTGCGCGTGAAGTCTAGGAGGGTAAACCCACCCAGGCACCAAGAAGGACGCAGCAGTTTGAGGCACTACAGCCTGGACATTGTGATTCGGCCGGTCTGAGCTGGTCTCGCCTTCCTTTTCTGGGCCGGACTGGGAGGGGTTAGCGCTGAAGCCACAGGGTCTCTTGGGTCCCCGCCCGGGACACAGCGTCCTCCCGAAGCCCCTACTCCACCCCCGCTGAGTTAACCCCGCCCCCGCGCTTGTTTACCCAGGAGTCAGAGCCCCTGGGGGTCCCGGCCCCTCCCCCATCCCAGGGGCCTTGACCCGGGAGTCCCCGTTGGCCATCCTCTTCCCCCCTCCTGGCGATGGCCCTCTATTTATAGCGGGCCCCCGCCCTCCCCGCCCCCCCTCCCCCCCTTGT